GCAGCCTCGACCTGCTGGGCTCCGGCGATCCTTCCGCCTCAGCCTTTCGAGTAGCTGGAACTACAGGTGCGCGCTACTACGTCCAGCTAATTTTTTTTTTTTATTTATTGTAGAGATGAGGTCTTGCCTGCCCAGGCGGGTCTTGAACCCGCAGGCTGAGGCAATCCACTCACCTCAGCCTCCCAAAGACGTGGAAAACGTTCTAATTTTCTACAACAAATATGTATTTCTTGTGTGAATTGGTTGAGATGAAAAAGAAATGGCCTCCTTACTCCGTGTTCTACTTTTTCCTCAATTAAACAAACAAAATGGAAAGAATCTAAAACATCTCTATTCTCCTTAATATCTGTGCTTGCAAGGTGAAACACATAAAAAAGAAGACTTACTTTTATCTTGGTGTCATCTGTTACGCAATCATGCCCATAATATCATGATCCTGTAATCATTATAATGATCTTAAGTGGTCTTAAGCCCCCTTAAAATCTTAAGTGGGCAAAATAATTGCATTGTTTTTCATTTCTGTCATCTCTCACACAAATTAATTCACTTTACAATCTCAGCCACCATGGGTGTGTTATTACTCCCTGTTTCTCAGAAGAGGCCAGTGATGCGCAGAGGGGCTGAGGGTGAGAAGGAGTTCCCTTCCAATACACATGCCAGAAACGGTGTGCTCGGCCAGTGCTCTATGCCGTGGCCCACTTGCGTGAAATACATTCACTCACCACCAACCGGATATCCTTGATCTCCCCAATCCCCACGTTGATTTTCTTCTTCTCATTCACAGGCAGCCGGATGTTTAAAAGGTAAAACTTATGAGCCACAGACCCGATTTCCATGAAAGGAAGGACATCACATTCATAGTAACGGCCCTCATGCTCTGGAGTCTGGAAGAAAATCAGAGGGTTTGAGGCAGGGCATCTGTTTCCGATAGACTGTGTCTGAATTCTCTTACCTTGGACCTATGTTACCAATTTTTAAAAGCAAGTGCTTAAAGGTGCACCTTATAGGTACAGATTAACAGAGCATACTGGCGGCATGGTGTCCACCCAGCTACGCCTGGTCTCATTTTTTTTTTTAAGCCACATTTGAGGTAGAACCAAAACTTTAGGTAAAAAGTAGAATTCCTTCTATCACTTGACACCTTCCTCAACTCTTTGAGCCTCACATGGAGACGAATCTGGTCTGCCAGGGTTATAAGAGCTTTTATTTGTCACGCTGTCACTGGAGTTCTCTAAGCCTCTGAGGAACATTCAACTTCTTCAAGGTTCAGGAGGAAGCGCTTGTTGAAGCTGATTACACCCTGTGATGATGGCTGATTAGTTTTCTGGTTCTGCCTACAGAAGGAGCTACGCTAAGCTGAGAGTATCTATTCCTTTCACCGATTTGACAGGAAAAGCAGCACCCCATGGAGCCCTTGGAATTTGGGGAAGACAGAAAGGGAAGAAGGTAATAATGAGATTGGCTTGCTAGAGACACCCACTCAGACACCCACTCCAAAGCTTCCTAACAGCCAAGAACAAGATGACAGAAGGGAGCCTGAATTTTAATTAAGTAAAAACTTAGCCCAGATTCTAGAACAGCATCTTGGACTTCCTGCCAAACCAGGTGGGGGCACTGCCCAGAGCACAGCGATGGGAGGTTGCAGAGGAGGGCTCAGCTTGCTCTTGAAACTGAATTCCGTTCTACCTTACCAGGACTCCTAGCCACCTGCTCCTGTTGATGGGCGGGGCCGGGGTGGGCATGGGCACATAGAGGCACGGGCTTCAGAAGGCACAGACTCTTCCTAATGAGGTAGACGAGGTCTGCCATTGAGGCTGGTTTCTATGCCCGCTTCAATATTTACTTGGCACCTCCTGACCCAGTGACAGGGGAACACTCATTTGTCTTTCCTAAGCCTAAACTCTCAAGACCTCCATAAATTGTTGTAAGTCTTCCAAGCAAAAGCTCCCATGGAGAAGTGAGAAGGAAGAAGGTAACAAGAAGCATACAGTTCAGTGCAGGAAGGGCACTGCCCTCCTGTGACCATGCCCAGTTCCTTGCCGGACAGTCAGACTTACAAGGCAATCAACAGACCTCTGTACAAAAACAGAAGACACGCAAAACAAGGTAGAGGTGGGGAGGCAAACACCGGGCTCACGGGTGTACACTCTCTCCTTCCCCAGCACAGCAGACGAAACGAACCAGTCGTGACAGTTTTTTATCCTCTGAGATATGAGGGGCTCTTGTCAGACACACTGGTTGACTGGAGCGGGCATGTGAGAGTTCAAAAAACCATTCTGCTGAAAGAAGGCTGCTTCCTTCTCAAACCCCAGCTACGCGTCGGATGATTCTTCCCGCGCAGAACAACTTTCCCTCCCTCCACTCCTTCCTCTTGCAGACTCGCAAATCAAGTCTAGAAGGAGACGCTGCTGGCACCCCTGAAGACACAGCACAGCTGCTAACTCACCTTGGAGGAAGCTCACCTTGGAGGAGGCGGGTCACCCTTGGTGGTCAGAGCAAGGGGATGGTTTTCTGACGTCGAGAATTTGACATGGAAGGGAACAAGACCTATGAAGCCTGACACCATTTTATGTACTCCCTGCTGCCCAGAGTCCCAAAAGTCACGGGACTGGGAGGAGGGCATGGGCTTCTGGAGTCCGGCCGGGCCATGTGGCTGCCTCCAGTTCCAGTGAGGAAGAGGACACAGGAACGACTGCCCCGGCCATGCCCACAGTCAGGCATTGCGCCGTGACCAAGACAGTCCTGAACTCCAGGAGGCTCCAACTCCAGGAGGCCTTTGTCCCTTGCTGGGCACCTCCTGTTGTCTCATTTGGTCTCCTCCTAAGTATAGTGACGAGGTTGAAGAGATAATCCCTGGGGTCACTTCTAGTTCCCTGCCATGGGTGTCCGACAATTCCCTGTCTCTACAAAGAGGGGAGCAGGACCACTCATGAGAAAAACTTACCTGAGTTTACCAACTGGGAGAGACACAGTGGCTTCCGGGATCCCAGCCTGGGCTACCTGTCTCAGAGACAAATTCGCTGCATCCTGTCAGGGACTTGTCTTTATGCACCCAAGTGCTACCTCTGCCTGTATTTAGGGCACTGAAGAAGAAAGACTCCTTCCTTCCTTTCCCCTACCCCCTCAGCATCCTCCAGCCCCAGCATAAGGCTGGCTAATTAGGGCAAATTACAGCAGGTGGCAACTTGACTTTTTTTTTTAAACTTCACAATCCACCAGGGACTAAAAAGCTTTAAAGCAATTTCTCATTCAATCTTCAGACTCCAGACTAAATTCCACTGCAATCAAAAACCAGAGATTTGATGATTCCTTTCCTTCACACCCTTCAAGGTTTAATATCTTTCTTGAAAGGGACCAACACATTCTAGAGATAATTAAGCAAGTGTCATTAAGAAGCGGTTGCAGGCAAACTCCCTTGCCCCCCACTCTGCTCTCGTCTCTCCACATGCTTAAGTCGGGGGAGGAACGACTTATCCCTTTTCTGAGGATGAAATTCCATCTCCAAGAGCCCTCAAGCTTAGATGTTTAGCCAGCCTCTCCTCTCAAAGATGCAATGAACTTGCAGCGGCAGCTAGAAAGGTTTTAATTAATTTCCTCCATAGCCAACAAAGATCTCAAACTGTTAGCTGCCCCTTTCTCCTGTTTCCTCTAGTTTCTCTCCACCATTCATTTCTACCTACACAGATGGCTTTTTTTGAGGGGGAGCTCTATATTTGGCACTCAGCAGAGGTTCAAGGGCAGTGGCTCTCAAACTGTCTCGAGCTCACGGTGAAGAATTGAAGGCCTGTTAAAACGCAGATCCTTTGGCCCAACCCCCTGAGAACAGATTTATAGATTGTGGGTATGGCCCGGGAGTCTGCGTTTCCTACAAGCTCTCAGGTGATGCTGATGCCGTGGTCCTCAGCCTACACTTTCTGTAGCTCTAGTCTAGGAAACCTGGGGAAAGGAGACTCAGTAAGTAAGTGCCAAGGAGGCTTAAGACCGCAACAGGTGCATAGGTTGTAGGACATAAGGTTTCCCCACAAGAGCCATCTTTTGTCCTGGTGGCCCATGTGGTTAACATCCCGGTTGACGCTCAAGTATGTCTCAGACAAGATATTAAATTATGAGGTCATCTTTCCAGTGCTCACTGTCTCATCCGGTCCATACAAAGACTCACAAGGGGAGTAGTATTACCTCATTTGGCCAAAGAGAAACTGAAGGTCAGCCGGATTCTGTAAGCTTGCCTGAGGTCACACAGTCAGTGATACAACTGGCCCCGCCTCCTCCTCTTCAGGGAAGGATGGCTAAGGCCAGGCGTGGTACCCAGAGGCTTCAACCCAACATTCTCAGGATTTCACAGGAAACCCCAACTTTACAGTTATCGGCAAACACAAAGCCGGGAGAGGACCCAAACCACTCATTACAGCAGATGACAAAGTCGTCCAGATCCTTCAGGAGCTGCTGACCTGGAAACATCAACCAAGAGAAGACACAACCCAGAATGTGCTTCCGGAGAGAGACTGGCCTCTCAAGCACTCACTCAAGAAAGTAACACTTCTGCACTGAGGGACCCCAGAGACTGCCTAGCTGGTGGGGGCCAGGACAGCAGCCTTGAGGAGTATGAGTAACCATGAATAGCAGTCATCATGGCTCAATCTCAGCTTCACAGAGACTTTCAAGAGGAGACAGGGAAGGGCAAGGAGGCGAGTACCCGGCTAGATGACGCGGTGGCTCATGCCTATAATCCCAGCACTTTGGGAGAGAACTACCTGAGCCCAGGGGTTCGAGACCAGCTCGGGCAGCTTGGCAAGACCTCACCTCTACAATAAATCAAAAGATTAGCCAGGCGTGGTGGTGTGTGCCCGTAATTCCAGCTACTTGGAAGGCTGAGGCAGGAGGATCACCTGAGCCCAGCAGCTCGAGGCTGCAGTGGCCATGAGCATGTCACTGCACTCCAGTCTGGGTGACAGAGTGAGACTCCGACTCAAAAAAAAAAAAAAGAAAAGAAAGGAAACCCCTCCCCATTGGTAATTCGGATTTGGTGCTTAGACCACTGAGTCCCACTCTTCTCTAGGGGTCTCTGAATCCATCCCTGTAGTTTAATGTATGAGGAATCCAAGGCCTTTGAACACAAGAAAGCATCTCCCTCCTTTCAATGAAAGACAGCAGCCTCCCTCCCAAGGGTGAGTGTTTTTGAAAGAACCAGAGAAGGGAGAGTCCTACAGATGGGTGAAACAACCATCTCAGTTCTCAGCTGAGACGAGACGGTCTCTTTCAGGATCCTCGTTTGTCTGTGGTTTTCACTGGGGCTGTTTGCCTTCATACCTGTACATTAACTTCAGCAACACAGAGATGCCTAAGAAACCAAGAAGCAGGCACATGCGATACGAACAGATTCTCACTGCTAAAAATAACTTAGCAAAGCTCTTCATTCTTCAGGCACGTTCAGCTGTTTACCAAAGAACCAAAGAGTTGTTTTCATAAAGGTATTTCAGAGAAACAACCACACCACTGCAAACACACATTCCTTCCTCTATTCTTTCCTCCACTGTAGGGACATGAAATATCTATGCTGTCCTTCTCTCTGCTAAGCCAAAGAACAATGACCAACCTTTGGAGATCATGCCTGCGAATGAATAGGGGACACATCTGTGAAGTATAAGCAAACTCTCCACATACCTGGGAGCCAAACAAAAACTGCACCAGCTTAGACATCAAGGTATCGTACCTTGGGAGATGTGAAGGTGCATTTGAGCTTCCGCGGTACTCGCTCATGGGCCATTTCAGTCCATTCAGCAAACATGTCATCACGGTAAGCCAGGGAAACGTCCATGGAAATTTCTGCGTTTTCTCCTGCAAGAGAAGATACACAATGCAGAAACAGTCTTTGGAAAGATACTTTGGAAAGAGTTGAAAACATTCTTACAGGCTCTGCCAGGAAGACCAACAAGACAAAAGAGATATATTCATTCCTATCAAGCTCTACATCTCCAAGCTAGTTGCTGGGTCCCCTCCCATGGCCCCTCTGCCAGATTCAAGAGCTTCCATGTAAACTCCTCCAGAGGTGGGGGCCTCACTATCTCTGAGACCACGCAAATGGTCAGATTCTGACTCACAGTCAGACCTTACCTTCCTGTAACATGTGCCACTGGTCCTAGGTCTGGCCGTAGGAGCCACCTGAAAGGTGAGGTCATTCCTTCTTCCATGGTACTTAAAAACTATACAGACTGTAGTCCTGCGCCTTTGAGAGGCTGAGGTGAGTGGATTGCCTGAGCCTGCGGGTTCGAGACCCGCCTGGGCAGCGAGACCTCATCTCTACAATAAATAAAAAAATCAGCCGGCTGTAGTAGTGCATGCCTATAATTCCGGCTACTCGGAAGGCTGAGGTGGAAGGATTGCTGGAGCCCAGCAGGCGAGGCTGCGGTGGCCTGGAGTGGCCACTGCACTCCAGTCTGGGTGACCGAGTGAGACTCCAACTCAAAAAAAAAAAATACAGAATCTGCCTGTGCTGCTCTTCTCTTTGATAAACATGACCAAGTTTTTCAACCACCCCTTAGGCATGATTTAAGTCCCTCTGGTGCTTTCCTCTGACACACTCTGGTCTGAAAGCATCCTTCTTAAAATAATTCCCCAAAGTTCCTAAATATAGGATCTGCTACTTCTCTGAAATGCAAAACCTTTTCATGTTGTAGACAAAGTTTATGTAAAAGGCAAAGGGTTTTTTTCCAAAAAAACACAGATAGGAATATAATAATGAACACATAATTGTACAAATGAATGCTCACAAGTTTCCATCTCAGTAAGGACCATGAATGGGTTTAACTCACCACAGAACTCATTGAGATTAGATTAATAAAAAAATTGCAGGCCATGCACGGTGCCTCAAGCCTATAATCCCAGCACTTTGGGAGGTTGAGGCGAGAGGACTGCCTGAGCCCGCAGGTTTAAGACCAGCCCAGGCAACTTGGTAAGATCGTGTCTATACCATAAAATAAAAAAAATTAGTCAGGGATGGTAGCATGTGCCTGTAGTTCCAGCTACTTGGAAGGCTGAGGTGAAAGGCCCACCAGAGCCCAGTTGACACTAGGGTGACTGTGAGCATGCTGCTGCACTCCAGCCTGGGCGACAGAGTGAGACTCCAACTCAAAAAAAAAAAAAAAAATTGCATCTCTTCATTTTGTCTGTTTTATACTATGTTGAGCAAGTTCAAGAACAAAGGGGTCTTAATGAGGGAGGAAAGAAAGCACAAACTACCTTTCCAAAATGACCAGAGGGCCAGATACCCCCGGGGTTATGAACCTGAGCTCAATACTAGGCTCTGGCTGTTCAGTCTTGAGGAAGCCTCAATATCCAGGCTCCTGAGCTTGCTCATCTGCCAAGTGACACCCACTCCAGGGTGGTGACCAGGATTAAAGGAGGTCACATTAGTGAAAGCCCAGCACACTGCCTAGTGTGCAGTAGGTGCTTAATAAATGTCTACTGACCCTGAAGACATACAAGTCACACGGAGCACGGATAGACACAACTGCTATCTGAAAAGGTAAGGCTTTTCCACCACTGGCCTAGTGTGGCTTGAAGCTGACACAACAGCATGGCAGGACCTTGGTTCTTGTTGGAAATCGAAGATGTGAACAAAGAGTGCATGGAAGAAGGGGTGTGAGGCCATTCTGATGCAGAAGAGCCCTCCATGAACATCAATGTTCTATTATGACAAAGCAAAACTTTGGTTACACGTGGTGAATTGGCCGCTGTGTCTTCCTCTTCCTCCTCCTGAAATGCCACTAAGAAGACAGCAAAGAAAAGCAAAAGACACCATATCACAGGGAAAACTGTAGAGACATGAGCAGACCAGAGAGTCCAACTTTTTTTTTTTTTACAAATTAAAAAACAGATGAAGTCGGGTTTTTCCTCATGGCTACAACCCTTACTTCCACAGAAGGGCCATTCTGGAAAAGTGAGCCAATGCTTCTGAGAGAATCTCAAGCAACTCAGAATTTGAAAACACCAAGGCACGGGCAAGGGGGTGTCCGGGTGAAGTTTGTACACAGGATGGCGGCACCTTCAGTTCTCCCACATCTGCCCACCCTCCAAGCACAGACTCTGGACTCAAGGATACAAGGCGACGCAGCAGCCCAGGGCTGGGAATGGGCAATACCAAGAGTCTGTAAAAGAAACTATTTGGCCCCCCACCCCCCCCCCCCCGCTTGGCAGGGGCAATGCTCAGACCCAAAGGTCCCCTTGGCCAGAGACCAGGCTGTCTACCCCCACTCATGGCTTTAAATTTATTAAATTTACGTAAAGGTGACTTACGTAAAGTTAGCAACATGAGGGCGGTGACCATCTTGAAACTGCCATAAAAGACAATCTTTTCTTTCTTTTAAAAAACAGTTGCTTAAAGAAAACTGGCTAGCTTTTGAGAAAAGAAGTCCCTCAAACCAGCCACACAATATGAATATGCTATCTTCAATATCAGCAATGACTCTCCCTCATCAAACCTGAAATGCTGTAAAATAAGTGATCAGCTCAAATGCTGGCTACAAGGCAAGTCATAATTGTCCTCCTTAGCCGGGCTTGGTGACTCAGCCTGTAATCCCGCGCCTTTGGGAGGCTGAGGTGAGTGGATTGCCTGAGCCCGGGGTTTGAGACCCGCCTGGGAAACTTAGCGAGACCTCATCTCTACAATAAATAAAAAAATTAGCCAGGCGTGGTAGCGCGCGCCTGTA